CTTGTGGAGGGTCTCGATCGAGACCCTTGGGGCCGACCGTACAAGCGGGCGCGGAACAAACTCTGCGCCCAGTCGGCCCCCATCACGGAGGTGCTCCAGCCGGCTGCTCTGAGGGGGATCGTCGGGGAACTCCTCCCCGACGCTCCAGCGGGTTTTACTCCCCCCAGAATGGCCCGGCTGACACTGGAAGAGGGCGACCGCGTTCCGCCCACCGTCACGGAGTCTGAAATGGAGGCGATTCTGGCTCGCCTCCAGAGTAAGAAGAGCGCACCGGGTCCGGACGGGGTGCACGGGAGAGTTCTCGCTCTCTCCCTGGTGCACCTCGGTGGAGCCCTCAAGGAGCTGTTCGACCTCTGTCTGAGGTCCGGGCAGTTCCCGAGGGCCTGGAAGGAAGGCCGGCTTTGCCTTCTTCCAAAAGGCAACCGGCCTCCGGACTCGGCTTCGGCGTGGCGACCGGTGGTTGTGCTGAACGAGGCGGGGAAGGCCCTGGAGAAAATAATGGCCACCCGTCTCGTTCGGCATCTGGAGGAAGGCTCGGGCCCGGGACTGTCAGAGTTCCAGTTTGGGTTCCGAGCCCATCGGTCGACCGTCGATGCTCTCAAACGCCTGAGGGCGGTGACGGAAGAGGCGGAACGCAGAGGAGAGGTAGTGGTTGCGGTGTCGTTGGACATCGCAAACGCGTTTAACAGCCTCCCACACAGCGCGATACAGGTGGCACTCGAGTATTTCGGAGTGCCCCTGTATCTTAGGAGGCTGATAAACAGCTACCTCTCCCAGAGGAGGGTGGCAGTCGAGAGCCGGAGGGGGTCCATAGAGTGGTGGACAGTCAAAAACGGCGTGCCACAGGGGTCGGTCCTGGGACCGGTCCTGTGGAACGTCGGATACGACTGGGTCCTGCGGAGTCGTCTCCTCCCCGGGATGGGTGTCATCTGCTACGCCGATGACACCCTCGTCTTATCCCGGGGACGAAACTACAGGGAGGCGGCGCGGCTGGCCGAGGTCGGAACTGACCTCGTGATCAGCCGCATAGAGAGGTTGTAGCTTCGGGTGAGAATAGACAAGACCGAAGCCCTCCTCTTCCGCGGGACTGGGCGGAAAGGACCCCCGCCGGGTGCCACCCTCCTCATTGGAGGAGGGAGGGTCAGGGTGAGTCCCACCATGAAATATCTGGGGCTCACTCTTGACGGAGGGTGGACCTTCGTGCCTCATTTCAAGGAACTGGGGCCGAAGGTCGTGAGGACGGCAGGTGCGCTGGGAAAATTCCTCCCGAACCTCGGAGGACCCAGCGCAGCTTGCAGGCGGCTATACTCTGGGGTCTGTCGGAGTATAGCCCTGTACGGTGCTCCCGTTTGGGCTGATCGCCCAATGAGCCGCAGGACCAAAGCCCTGCTGCGCTCTGCGCAAAGGGCTCCTGCGGTGAGGGTGATTAGGGGGTACCGTACGGTCTCCTGGGCCGCAGCGACTGCCCTTGCCGGCGATCCGCCTTGGGATCTCGTGGCGTCGGTTCGAGCCGAGTTGTTCTCCTATGTCTCGGGTAGGAGGACACTCGGCGAGAACCCTTCGTCGGAGGAGATCCGAGCGGTTCGTCAGCAGGGGGAGGAGCGCCTTATGCGGGAGTGGGGGGAGGACCTGGCGGAGCAGCCGTACGGTAGACGTACAACGGCAGCGCTTCGCCCGGTCCTAGAGCGTTGGATGAGGCGGAAACGCAAACCCCTCACTTTCCGTCTGACGCAGGTCTTAACCGGGCACGGGTGCTTTGGTTACTACCTGTGTCGGACGGCCAGGAGAGAGCCGGGAGAAGGCTGCCATGAGTGCGGCGCTGCGGTGGACTCGGCCCAGCACACCCTCGAGGTGTGCCCGAGATGGGCTGCGCAGCGCCAAGACCTTGTGGCGGCTCTCGGCGGAGTGGACCTGTCGCTTTCGAGTGTCGTGGAGAAGATGCTCGAGAGTGATGGGTCCTGGTTGGCGGTGTCCTCCTTCTGTGAGACGGTCATGTCCACGAAGGAGGCATCTCAGCGGGAAAGGGAGAGGGCGGCTGATGCTCCCTCCCCCCGCAGGCGACGTACGGGGGTGCGTCGGAGGCAATTCCTACGCCTCCAATAGCACCCCTGTGTTCCGGGCTGGGGTCGGCGTGGTAACCCGGCCCTTTTGAAAGCCCGGCGTCGTCGGGGTGGTCCTAATTGCCGGGATCGCCCCCATTCTCCGAGGGAGTAAGTCCGGTCTTTGCCAGGACCGGCCAGTCGCTGGTGTGCCCTGTCGCTGACAGATCCGGGGTACACCGACATAGCGGCCGATGGCTTTCGCAGTGGTTTTAGTGAGTAGGGGCCTGCCCAGGCCGAGCCTCACACATCCCTTCCGGCCCCACCAAGGTCGGTTGGACGGCTCGTAAAAAGAGTTTCCACTACGTCATCAAAAAAAAAAAAAAAAAAAAAAAAAAAAAAAAAAAAAGGTTAGTTAATTAATATAATAATTTAGCAAGCGGCTCTCGATACGGCATACCCAAATTACTATATCACACCAAGACGTCCGATCCCTACGGCGGCTCGAACGCGACTCCAAAATACATACACATACACACGAACCTTTTCATTTCACTACACAGTGATGTTTATGTAGATGCATGTTTTTTTTCTAATTACAGTATTAGTATCTCGGAATAATAACGGCCGTTAGACTATTTGACCTTCATAACGTAGGTCAATGGATGATTCACTTGTAACTTAATTATAAGTGCACTCGTATTGCATGAAACTATCACTGTTTATGTGGTCAAGTGATTATATTCAAAAATACTATGCTTAACAGTTAATTTTTTTATTTCTTTACTCATCTCTAGATCACCACGACCCACAAATTGGCTGAGGAAATTATGTAAACTATCCTATTAATATACCTACAATTAAAAGTAATTGAATTTTTTTAACTTTGTAAGAATTTAGTATACAATAGTTGGGACAAAATTAGGGAATTTTTATTTTACTGGTGTTAACTTACATAATTTATGGATAAAATTATTTACAAATCTACTGAACACTTTTTTTTCACTAAATGAAAACAAATAAATATTTGTTAATAAAAGACTGTTCATATTTTAATCGTGTACCAAAAATAAATTGAGTCTTAGTTATTTTTTAATTCATTGTTCATAAAACCTTCTCCAATCTCGTTGCCCGAAACTAGCAAGCTATAATTAATTAGGTATTTTGTATTTTTATGATATAGATGTTGAATTATTGGATTTTTCAAATATTTTGCACTTGGATATTATGATGTCCAACAAAATAATACTTAATTCAGATATTTTGGATATAAAATTTTTGGGTTTTAAAATGCATATTTAAAAAAAAAATAACAATACATATTTTCAAAGAAACTAATTAATTACCAGCAGCCTTTGTCAAATACCTTTAAAATGTTACTGGCACTTGTCTATTATAATATTATTCTTTTTTAAGTTATTTTTTATTCCATTTTAATAAACTTGAAATCAATTACATTTAATATAATCAACGTTAAATACAAATCATGAATCACCAGAAATAAACTCAAATCTTCAATGGTTTTCTCTTTAATAACTTGAATAGGTTTTTTTGAGGTCGTGTTTTTCTAATTGTTTGACAAATTTCTGGAACAATCACAGTTCTGATAACAGATTATCTGTCCTTTGTAACGACTAATATTACAAATGAAATAATATTCCTTTTTTAATATGGATATTCCTTCGGCATAGAAATAATATTAAATTCCTATACATATCTTAAACAATTGATAGAATATTTTTTTATATACAAGCATTCTTGTTGCCAATTATTTATCATAAAAAAACTTATAAATTATTTACAAAAACGTGTTACATATTTTGCTATAATAATACTTAATAGAAAATAATCTTAATGTAAACTGGAAACATTCGCTATAAAACCACGGTTGTTGTTTAATCTAAAAGTGTAAAATGAAATAGATAAAACCACTACGAATTTCATAACCCCTACTTTTCGTGTAAAAGAATGCTTATCCCTATTATGACACCGTATTTAATCCGTTTTTATGAAAAAGCTTCCACAATTAAACGTAGTGATAAATAAAGATATAAAAAGACTTGCTATTCCTAATTCTTTCACAGTCCTTCTTATTCGATCACTACAGCCACGATGTCAAAACACGTTTTAATAAAGGTAAGTACTATTTTTATATTTTTTTATATAAATAGCCTCTGTAAGTTACAATATTTTCTATCTTATCAAAGAATTGTGGCTATCAACATACTTACATTCATCCACATATATAGGTACGTATATATAAAGGAAGTTTATTGTTTTAAATAATGTTTAAAGGTCATATTTGAATCTGATACTAAACAACAATAGGCTACAATGTATGTGAACAACAAAAAAATGTTAAAACAAAAACTGACGCTACACGTGAGGAGACATCGCTTGTCGAATGCGTAGCACACTACATAAAGCGTTTGACGTTTATCATTCAGCAGAACCAGTTTAAAACTATAATGTGCAACAAAAAAAAAAATTAAAAGAAAAATCCATAACTAATATCTTTTAAATGTATGCTTATATATAATTGTAAATATTATTTGTTTTTAAATGACACCTTAACCTTTGTTACAGCCTACAGCTTACAATTTAAAAATTCGTTAATATTAATTATTTCATGTTTTTTGATCAAAATAACTTTAGACATCATTATATTTTTATGACCCATTTTATCTAATTTTTTTGTATACTTTGCACATAGACAAAAAAGAATAAAAAATATTATAAAACCGTTATTAACTTTTGCCATCTGTTCGTTTGTCTTTCCCCTCAGACTGAACAACTTTCAGTTCGATCAGTCGTTTAGTATATGTAGGTAGATAACAATGTAATGTACAAAGTCGTGTCGTTCCCGTAAACGTTAGTTTAAAAGCTTCTGTTTTATTTTGAAATTTCAGTTATTATATATAGTTAAATTAGTTATATGTAGGTAATATATTCGAAGCTCACCTGTTTCTATCCGTTTTTATCTTGAACGGCCCGCCTACCTCAGGCACCGGCTCCATCCTGAAGTAACCTTTATTCTTACGCCTCACTTCCATTTTCATGTCAGTTGATAATTTCCGGGACAATTATGAAATCAAAGTTTCACTGAAAATTTAAAATATGAATATGTAATATTTACAAATATAAAATAGAAATAAAAAAATTCCGATTTTAAGTAGCTACAAAGCTATTTTGAAGGAAAGGCAAAAAATATTGCCAAATGTATGCAAGTACCTAGAATCCAAATGTACGCGAGTATTTAAAAGAGAAGTTACAGGTATTTTGATACACTTGTCCTTGGGTTACAAATGGCAATAGGAACATAAACAATACGAAAATTAATATGAGTAATTTAGAAATATGATAAGCAACTAAATGAATATCTAAACAAACTAAGCATAGAATTATACCTTCTGTTGCAGTTTATTTATCTTGTTATCTTTTGTTTGATTGCAACATCAATTTTTTATTTCTAGCTTATCTGAATTTTATCGGCATATATTAAATAACCTTAAACATATAACTGAGACTTTAATTAGATATATGGAAAAAAATAATTTTACCTTCATTAAATTATTAGTTATTGATTCAAAAAATACCTGAATATTTGAGAAATAGATTTTCATAAGTAGGTACGCATCCTGAACTCAGATGTTTGTTTTTTAAGCATCATTCAGTAAATATTTTATTACCGTTGTATCTAAGAGCAGCTACTTTAAGCAAAAATACAAACTTCATATTATTTGATGTTTTTTTTATTAAAATTGCTACATTTTTTTGAAGAATCAAATGTTAATTAATTAATTAGGGTGTACATATTTGATATAACACATTTTTGTGTCCTTAAAACGCGATCATGTATGATGAAAAATGTAGTAAAAATTGAATAAAATTTAATTTTATGGAGAAAATTTAAATTTTCTCGTCTTTATAATATAAATTTAAAATCCGGTTTTATATATGTGATATTCTCATATCACATATATAAAACCGGGTTTTTTCTCAAAAATATTTCATTATACTTAATAGTTTACACTATCACGTATATAACTGGGTCTGATTGGATTATTATGGTCATAAATGAGTGTCAAAAGTAAAGCTTATTGTTTTACTTTTTGTGTAACCGATACATATAATTTTACAGTTCCATAAACAGATGTTTACATTTCTTAATTGATTTTATTTCATTAAAAATAATTTATGTATGAAAAACGAGTGCAAATTCTAACTGATATATATTAAACGAATGGCAACAGGTCGGTAATCAGAGTGAATGATTATTATTATTTCTATCGATTGACCGTCATTGTTTCAATTTGATTGAAGACATTAAATACATATGGTTGCTTATGCTTCAATTTATAATAAAATATTTATTATACACTTATAATACAGAAATGTAATTTTTTAAGGACATTATGTGAATAAGACGTCTGTAATATTTTCATTTAAAAAAGTCATTTCGGAAGGTCAAAACACAAAATCTTTTTATATATATATATATATATATATATATATATATATATATATATATATATCTATAAATATACATAATATTTTAAACTATTCTTTCATAGCGGTTTTGCATAGCAAATGGATTTAAGCGTGAAAACTTATGAAGTGAGAAATGTAAAAATAAAATAAAATGTCTATGAATTAAACGAAGACTCGTATAATACGTTAATTCTCTTTAAAAATAGCTAATTATACTACTACAAAAAGTTAATTTTAAAAATAAAAAAGCAGTTAAAAATTTAATGTCCATATTAATGGGATAAAGAAGGTAGAACTTTTTTAATATCTTAACCTCACCTTTTACTGTATTTTCGCTGAATAATCACTAACAATACATAACACATCTTTATTTTTCACTCTATAATACTTTTTACATTACTCACAATATTCCTTAAATCGAATATGATATGTTCTTTGCTTTTATCAGCCTGAACTAAATGTGTCAACTAACCCACAGGCCATAGTTGCCATTGCAGAAATGAGAAACCTTGCGGCTCTAGTAATATTTTTTAAATATGTGTTTTTTTTTACTTTAGGCCACATAATTCATTAACAAGATAACCTAGATTAACATAATAATCTCAGTTTATACTCTCGCCATCAAAAACTAGATTTAAAATATAGATTAATTGATACCAATATTGCTCAAAATGAGATTGATGTCACGCAAATAATACCTTACTATAAAGTATATCAAGTAGCTAAATTTTATATTTTAATCAAAGTAAAGTTATATTTAAATTGAAAAAAATAAACGAACAGCTTTCTAACACCACTGTAGTGAAATAGCTTTTAACGTTTAAATGCGTTTTTTGTTGGCACTTTAATGTAACTTCTCATCACTATTCAAGGAAAAAAATATATATTTAATAATATAAATTCTCACAAATGTTACTCACCCCTGGTATCCTGCGGAGCTCGATCTGTGGATGGCAATCAAAGCGCAGGCCAATCGCAACTAATCAACTGTACAACATGAGACATTTTCTTAAGGACATGCGTCATAATATCTTTTGTTATTATTACAAATGAAATGCACACCTTACTGTTTTGCTTGATACGGTATAAAAATATGGATTCATGTTGGTAATAGTAAAAATATAATTTATTAATAATAAAACAGATGTCTCTTTTGTTATTTATAAATTATAATAAACATTAAAATTTAAGAAAAATCGTTACAGGTCAATATAACATTGTAATTATATACCTAAATGGCTGATGCCTTAATCTTATTATTTTAACACAAGTTGCGACAATTCCTAGTTTTATAAAATTATATATAATTTACTCATTATAAATTCATTAGTAAATAAAAATAGGAGCATATCTCCCAGACTATTCCTATACTTTATTAATAAGTAAACAATATTCAATCTTCAACTCGTGTGGGGTATTTGAATATGATCGACTCTTCTTATACTGGAGCAATCAGCATGTGTTTGGAAACAGTATCCATTTTGAAAGATACGATTATTTTATCTAAATGTTTAAATGGATTAAACATAAAGTCGAACACTGTATTCTTAGATGGCAGCATATGTAACTAGTTAATTTATAATTAATATTGTAAAGGATAGTCATGAAAATCATGAAAATGTCTCTTTAGACTAATTCAAAAGTTATTTTAAACTATCTATTTACATACACGGCACATCTGAATATTTCCTGAACTTGTGTCATTGCCTTTGAGATTTAAACAGGCGCAGAATAATATGTACCTTATAAAAAATACACTTATATCTCATAAGTTAGATTTCATAGAAATCAAATCTTTCTTTACTGTATTTTAGCTTTCTTATATGGTGATGTGTCTGGTCACAACTCTTTCGGCATCCCGAGATGATTCTGTACCAGACTTCATAGAACATGTCCTCAGAATTCCCAACCCCGAGAAGATTCTTAATTCAGTGGTTTCAAGACTGCAAGCCAAACAAGAAGGATTGAGGGAAAGACCGAGATACGACGATGCAGATTGTGACCCGGATGATGTAAGTTTTGCTACTCGAAAACCAAGGAAATAAATCAATTACTTATTTATTGTTTAACTATTATTTATTCGAATTAATAAACCATTTTCAGGAACTTCCTGAATATACCGAATCGATCAAGGAAGCAAAGGAACGTGAATTACGACATTACATTGGAACACAGGTACAAGTATAAAATAATGAAATAGAGATTACCAATAAACAACATTGAACATGCCTTGACCTGACCTTGACGCCCCCCTCTCGATCTAACGTCTATGCCAATGTCTTAAGCAAATCCATAGCCACCATTTATTCGGGTTACAAACTGCACAATACGTCCTTTATTTATTTTTTCAATTTGTTCATTCTATCTTGACCATGAATTTCATGTCCAAATATTCAAAGTAGGTACAATTAAATGTAGATAATTTGTCAAATGATATTGAGAAATAAAAGACCCATAACTTTGAAGTAATCTAATAATGGAAAGTTTGTAAAAACAATAAGAAGTAATTCAGACTATATAAGTAAGAAATAAGCAAGATCTATTAAAGTTCATCAAAAGTGGTTGACATATTGATTAATCGATATTTTCAGTTCCATGGTATACCTAAGGATTGTAACCAATACATAGTGCTACAGTTATTAATAATTATTCTTATAGAAAAGTTTTTAAAATAATAAAGTGAGCTAAGCTAAAAAAGCCGCTCTCGGGAAATAAGAAGCCAGTAAACTTAAATATTAAAATAAACAGTTAGTTCCGAACCAAACTTTTCTATTACATATTCTTTCTTTTCTTCTTTTCTTCTTCTTGTTTTATATTTATTTTTTATTAAGAATGTAGTGGTAATTGATGACGAATTATTGATTTATCTCAGTATTAATGTATTCTTGTAATCTAGAAATTATTATAATTATTAGACGTAAGAATTTAATAGGAAAAAGAAAGAGGTTGTTACTCAAAAGCAAGTCTAAAGAAAAAATCTTTTGGGGCAATTTTTTTGCTATTTATTCGTAAATACAAATTTATCAAATTATTTTTAACTTATCAGGAGCCTTCAACACAGTTTTTCCATTTTGGCTATTAAGTAAATCGTAAAACATTGGATTTCCTGATATGGCCTTGACAATGTTCGTTAATTATCATTCCAACCTCCCACAAAATGTGCTAAGGCTGTAATTACCTGAATGGGCAAAATAATTATGGTTTAAATTTATTATAAAGTACTGCGGGATAACCTGTCGAACTCAACTTCATTGTTCGTCTATATTAATTATAGTACCTATTTATCACTCTTCGAAAGAAAATCAAAATTCATACTCAATTCTTATTATTAAATACTTCCCACTAATTCTGAACAGTCATCTCGTAGCCAAAAGGTGTAATCGTTATCATTTCACAAAAAGAAAGTGACACAATTTCAGAATTTGTTACATATTAATATGATTTCATCGCCCTGTTATTGCATAAACACCTGTCCCTTAACCTTTTTGTTTCTTTGATTCCATTCTAATTTCGATTATTAATAAAAAACAAAAAAGTAAATTATGTAGGATGAGTTTCACAGCCGAAATAAACTTGTATGTGTATGTATTATAATAGAAATTACAAGATGAATTTTATGACCTATACCGAAGACTATATAATTGCTCGGATGTTAGTATAGTAATACCATTCCATTGCTTGTGCTGTACCATCAATATTCTGGTTCACGCGGCCAGGGGTTCGTTCCGCGGAGTCAGCAACGTCATTCGTGATATTATATTTTATCATTACGCTTAACAAGTACTTATGATGGCACAAAATAAATAAATAAAATTAAACAGAGAGACGAAACCTCTTAGCATTCAATGGATTCACCGTGCGGGTGCCGGGTCCATCGCGATAATTATTAGACGTAAGAAGTGTAAGTTTTAGTAGTGTAATAATTCCGTACATTATATTTAGCAACATATTTTTACAATAAATTACATATAAAAACAGACAAGCAAAAATGTTTTTATTACTGCTACTACTTGTCGTATATTACTGGGTAGACCACAAACATTTATTTATGAAGATAATACACATAAATAATATATACTATTGCCAAATAGTAAAAGTAAATTTGTAAAATCACTACCTGCATGGATTCATTCATTATCTACTGGTATTCTAGCACGTTTAAAACCTTTAAGCTTTTTTATAAAACAACATATATTAGATATCTGCTATATAATAGGAAATTAATATAATTCTGAAATATTACTTCATTGACTTAATGCTAGCAAGAAATACTAAAACAGTAGACGATTTTATAGACTTTCGACTGGTTCCTTATGACATCAATTTGAATATAAAATAATAATAATATGAGACAATCAAAATTGACAAAGAGCTATTAAAACAAACTTATTTGAGTGTAAAAAATAAAATCAATCATTGCGATTTGTTATCATTATCTTAACGCAAATGACCAAAAATCACGTGTTTAAGAAGTACCAATTTTATCTGCGCTAACGACAAATCAATAAGGAGCGTGCCATCAAAAAATTTTTAGAAAATAATAATAATATAAAGAACGAAATAATCTGAACAGATAACAAACACACCGTCTTGATTGCATTTTCAAGCAATGTACCTACTATTATTGTATGCTATTCCTCTAAGGATTTCTTTCAATGATATCAAATTTATGTTTATTAAACTTCTTCGACGAATAGATAAGATTACGTTACTCAATAGTATCGACTTTCCCCAAACTAGTTTGTATAGGTTAGGTCGCTTTGAATAAATGCAATAATTATATAAATAGTGTGCTAGTGCAGACGTAGGTTAAGAATTAGGACTAAAGTAAATATTTACGAAATTTAAAAACAAGAAACGTATTCCGGTTTAAAGTTAATTCGTATTGCTCCTCAGTGTCTTAACGAGACCTTCGCTGTTTTGGAGTTTTGTAATAATAACATAAGAAGCATACTTAGTGTAATGCCTCTCTTGCATTAACGCGATGCCTTGTTAGCTTGACTTTTTAAATAACTTGGAAATAGGTGAATTCAATGTTTACATAAACACTAGACAGAATAAATTCAAAGGAAGTAATTTACGTAGCATGAATATCTACGTAACAATTATTTTTTTGGTCCGATAAATCGTTAATTTTTGAAACACATAAATTATATTCTTCTACTATACTCGTATTATAAGATATGGACCCTTCCTAATATCTTAAGTTTTAGTATGTAGGTATAAACTGTTACTTACATTGTTATTAACTATGTATATCATATTACCTCGTAAACCATCACGCACTCTATATCAACAATTCAATACATTTTTCTAATAGGTTTGGCCATAACCTTACTTAGTTCACTAAGATATATACTAGAATGCTTGTAGATAATTTAACATTAATATGACTTTTGAAAAAAGAAGGTACTCTCGTGTCCTAAATGTATATAAACATCTTTAAAAACCCGTCATGTATCCGATATCGGTATAAAGATTTGTGCAAGAACCGCTTTTGTTCGGATTCTTATTTTTTAAATTACTTTGTCTATCAAGACAAAACTTAATTTTGTGAAAAGACTTGACACACCAACATACTTTGTAAAGAAAACAAAATTGCGCATGTTCATAATAAATGAATAAGAGAATAATATGCTAAAAACTAAAACAAAAATTAAATGTCTTACAGAAGCATTATCCAATTTGCAATCTGGAGCGAGTAATAATAAGGTTAAATACTAATGAATATGAATATAGACCGGCTTACTATGAAGAGGTGAGATGTAACACTATCTCCAGAGACAATGCCGGTAATTATAACGAGGTATGTCATCATTTATTTATTATTATAAACATAATTTATTTATTATTAACTAAATGTTTTAATTGAGATCACTTCTAGTGAAGTTGAATATGCAATGCAAAAATGCAATGAATTCTACAAATTGGGGTACAGATAGACATATTTGCGGTTTAACTACCGTTTTTCACTCCTGTTCTGCATTATTTTTACAGCAATATATGCTTCAATTTTCAAATTTAATCAACTTCAATTCTAATCAACTTTATCAACTCGTAAAAGCCATTTACGAGCTGATAATGTTAAAAGAATAACTGATATAAAAGTAATTAATGTGAATATCTGTTAATATTTGTATTGTCAGGTGAATTTTTACTAAAATTCAAATTTGAAATTTCTTATTTATACCCGTGACTGCATCCTTTGTTCTCTAAAAATGGAATGAACATAAAAATACATCACTATCTGCTTCATATTTTTTGAGCTGCTGTTGAGTAGAACATTCAACTATTCATCGGACAAATTAGAGATATAATATAATTTAATGGATTGACAGAAACATACCTACCTATGAGATTTATTTTTTGTCAAGCAATAGTCCCCATGTAGTTAGACATATACGCAACACACGTTAAATGTTTGTTAGTTATTGCGTTATGCTATAAGTTGATATCCTAACCTTGGAAACAAGAACAGGCTTCTTGAATAATTACGCTTGTTACTCAGCAGTAGATCAAATCTCAAATACCTAATATTTGTTTCGTCAATAAATAAAAGAGTGTAATGTCAAATACAACAGGTTTCTTGACATGTCGAACAACAAAAGATTTCATGTTTTATAATTATTATTACATTGCATTCAAATATTTCATACTGATTGTATTGTCTTTGACTCGACTTTGAAGGTAATTATTATCACCATATTTTTTTATTACCATATAATATTTATATTCATCCATTCACATACGTAGCTGAATGTTCGATTTTGATGTTATTTTTAGATAACAATTTGACATCGTTCATTAAATTTATAAATTTATGGATTTTAATGTTTCAAAACAGAATTGTTTCCGTTTATTTTATTCCAATATTATTCGATGCTTAGCGGATCCTGGGTTCTCCCGCCCTGGGCGGGATGAACAAGCGGCATAAACGCTAGGATGATGATGATGATGATTATTCGATGCTTATAGTCGATAAAAAATATTTGATATGCATTTACAACCGCGTAATACAGGAACTAGGGATCACAAAAATTAATACCTACAAAAAGTAATTTCGGGTTCAATTTTTTACATTTTCATCTTAATTATGATCAGCTTTTTATTTATATTCTTTTATATAATACTAGTTTTTGCCCGCGACTTCGTCCGCGTTAGTTTCGTCATTAGTAATATATGTATAGCTGACCGGGCGAACTCTATTCCGTCTTAGAGGCCATAAATAATCAGGTTTTTCCTGTTTCAATCGAACAGAATGATTGACATATTAGTTAGTTGTCAAATCTAATGTCAAAAAAGCGTTTGTATGGGAAATAGAAAAGGGCTGTTTTTAGGGTTTTCCCGGCAATTATTCCAATTTTTCTCACCTTTTATACCTTCCCTGAATCTCCACAAACATTTCAAGACTAAGATAAGATAAATCCGTTCAGCCGTTCTCGAGTTTTAGCGAGACTAAGGAACAGCAATCCATTTTTATATATATAGAAGACTAGCTGACCCGGCAGACTTCGTACTGCCTCAATCAAGAAATAAATTATTTCTTAATTATTTTTTTGGAGTTTACCTTTAAGGCATAAATCTCCGTGTTCTAAAGTGCGACAGAATGATTGACATATTAGTTAGTTGTCAAATCTAATGTCAAAAAACCCGTTTGTATGGGAAGTAGAAAAGCGCTGTTTTTAGGGTTTTCCCGGAAATTATTTTTTTTTTTTCAGCTTTTATACCTTCCCTGAACCTCCACGATTATTTCAAGACTAAGATAAGATAAATCCGTTCAGCCGTTCTCGAGTTTTAGCGAGGCTAAGGAACAGCAGTCCATTTTTATATACATATATAGATGCATGTTAACTTTTCATTGATGTATGAAAATAACTAATGTATTAAATTTATTTTCAGATATGCTCGAGTCTTGGATTTTCCTGTGTTCAATGGAATAAAACAATTCACTTAACGAGAAGACGATATTCTAGGTGAGGAAAAATGTAAAAAAAATAATTATACGACCTCCGTTATCCTGCTTGCGTTTTTTTTTTCACTTTAAAACAGTTTCTTATCCAACTTGATAAACATATTTATATCTTAGAAAACAAACTTTTTTTACCAAATTTACCACTTACCTATATATAGCAAAAACAATATTAATATATTTTTCATATGTATAGAAATAATAATTTTTAATATTTGTTCCCCAGTGATTGTTGGGAAACGAAGACGATGGTTATACCGGCTGGTTGCGAGTGTATGTGGCCGATAAATAAACTCGGTGACATTGCGGCTCATGTATGAAAATTTTCAACTAACGCATATGTAAAAAAATTGTATTTCTTTTATTACCACTATCATATTGAGATTTTATTTTGTTTTAAAATTGTTCACGTATTTATTATTTGTTTCGCACCGCTATAATAAACCCATATAAAAGTTTTTCGTGGCTTTAATTCCTTATAATTTATTGCTTTTGAACGAATCCCCCTTTTAAACACAAACAGTTCTATTAAAATATTACTCTGAATATTTTAGAAAATATTAAATCGTATAAGTTCAGTTCAGTGTCTCAGACGTAACTGTACTGGTACAGAGATATTAGGAGGACATTTCTCTTTGTGGGTATCTGAGTATAGACTATGCAAAATAATAAATAAGTTTGTTATAAATAAGTTCTTAACAAATATAATTTACTTATGAACTGTTCTTCAAGTTGTATTCATAGGTAATAAATATAAAGGTGTCCCTTATATGGGTAAAATCATTTTTTTTCCAGTTATGAAAACGCATACACCCTATTTCTTTTTAGACTACCGAGACTAACTTAAATACAAAATTTAATCATCCTACGTCAACATTAACTCGTGTCAAATAAAATAAAAATAAAATTGGCAGGCGTTCTTCTTTACAACTTCTGACGTCAAAACCAGGTTATACTTTCTCATCCTTAGTGAACGTTCACCATTTCAGGCATATTATTCTGAAAATCAGATTTCTTAGATTCCGCCATAGATCTTTTTGAGCCTGTGTGCAAATACGTTGAATATACGATTTGCTTCTCGTGTAATCATCACAGCTAAGATCTCGTGCTTCTACCACAGCCTGAAGTATATGAACAGAATCCCTTAAGCTTTATTGATATCTATCTAGAGCTACAACTAACTTAGGCGTGATGATGATACATATTATAGTCCGAGCAAATTAGACCAAAAAGTAGGAGTGAGGTTACAAAGACTCGAAACCAGATGAAGATTGATGGGATTGTTTAAAACACTATCGTGAATGAAATCTTAAAAGTTCCCATAAATCTGATATCCAGATAATGGTCACTCATGGTAAAGGTCGCAAAAGTCGGTTTTCCCGATATTCAGCAGAACGGCAAGTTTTATTTCAAAAATTATGCCGAGACAATAAATGCAGATCAGACAATTATACTAAAAGTGCAATTAGCTTCTCTCCCCCCAACCTCAGTGGCTGCTTATGAACATTTTTATCAAATACATTACCAATTTCAAGTGTGGTGTGGTTAGCTCTAGCTAACCTCTGCTAAGTTCTAGCTAAGCTCTGGGTCTATCCAAAAGCCTGTGGTTGTTATTTGTTCAACAGTACATTAGAACCAGTTTAAATTTTACTCCCACTTCCACTGGAAAAACTGAAAAACATCATTTTTTTCAACTGCAAAAAGCGATGTAGTTTTAAATGTGGTTTCAAAAGAATTGGCCTATCTTGTTCTGTAGCATATACAAATGGTCAATACCTGCTGTGTTCCAATGTTGTATAACCAAGAAACGAGTCATTATTGGGGGACAATATACTTGCAGCCAGGATGAGTAAGAATAACAAGGAGAAGAAGTATAATAAGATAACAAAGGATAATAAGATAACAAAGGAGAAGAAAAAGTAAAAGTATGTAACAATTATGAGTGAGATGGATTAATTTCCCTATATATCGCTTTCACTTACACTGCTTTAAATAGAAAAGGGCTTGTTTTAGGGTTTTCCCGGAAACGAATCAATTTTTTTCAGCTTTTAAACCTTCCCAAACATTTCAAGACTAAGATAAGATAAATCCGTTCAGCCGTTCTCGAGTTTTAGTGAGACTAACGAACAACAATTCATTTTTATATATATAGATAGATAGATTTCAAATAAAACATAATCACAGCAGATACGTGGAATAAGCCTAGCGGGGAAACCACATTTTAAAAAATGCGCTTGGTTGACTACCTCAAAGGAGGTGTGGAAATGTGTACATAATATTATAATGATTACAAATTTTTCAACTTTTGGATACCGAGATACTTTTATACACCTTCAAATCAATTGAGCATTATGGAAAGTTAAATAAATAAAAAAATATTTTGAACCAATCAACCTCATTTATATCTTTTAATAAATACCTTCATTAGTTACACATAAATAATAATTTATAAAGTAAACCCTAACTTATGGCAATCTATCATCATGAAGTCATAATAAACTGATGTAAATTTTCTAAATAAAGTATATGTGTATACTAGCTCCGGTTATTTAAAAGTTACTTATACAGCAATCCGAAGTACAAGTATAAATGAACAAATGAGGTGCTAACCTTATACGTGGCTAGGTAGGATGGACAAGAACAAGATTACTTAGATCAGTATGGTTGATAATAATTAGATAACAAAATTTCATCTCATTCCTAAGCACATGTCGTTGTCGTGTCCTATAACAATTAAAAATCATTTAATAATTTATTATGATAAATTCAAAACAACAAAATTACTCTCTTGTTAATTACATATAGCAGTCCAGTCAAAATATACTAAATAATGATTGCACTTTGCATTAATTTCCAACAAACTGGATTTTTGTGTAGATCTTGAATACATTATTACAAATGATATGTCAAAAGTCCCCATCGATACCGCTCTGAAATAGAGAGCTATCGAAAAAGTGGTTCAGACAAAGACAAAAAAAAAATCTTAACACTTTTCTTCTACAAAGCATCGCTTTCAGGATATCGTGACTTGAGGCCACAGGAAAGTCGTATTTTCGACTATGTAGGTACACAAAGTTCCACTATATCATTCTCAACCGCTCTTCCTTTTCATTTTGCTTTTTATTCTCATACTAAGCTTTGCTGAGGACGTCATGCTGATTGTCGGTGAAGCAAATGAATGATGATCTTTCCAATTTCTATTACTATACTTTAACTTGAGGTTTGACTGAACTGTTCTATTATCGATCAATGATTCTTTGCAACTATCATTCAATTCTTGTTTTGAAAATTGATAATCATGATTTTCCATAAATGCAAATATTTTTTCCATCGCTGAAGTAGATCAGGACAACCGATTTTACCTCCACTAATTGGTTTAAAAAACGAAGTGTAACAATCATCGTGGTACTTAGCCTCAGTAGCAACTAAGTCATATTCATAATGAAAACCGGCAGGGACACTTCTTGCTTGCTCATCAAAACGAGTCTAAGCTTCCTTCAAGATGGTTTTCTTAAAGTTAAGGGTTGAAACGTGAGACATTCGTCATCAAATGCTGCGCTGCAATCATTCCAACCGCTGTATTTGCCTCATTGCCACAGAACAAACAGTATTTCTTTAAACAAAAAGACGATTAATTATCTCGTACTCTACTACGAAAAGGACTAATCTCAGATGTTGTAGCTATTTTCGCCTCACGCTGTCCTTTATCTGCAGCGATGCTGCTATTTCGGGTGTATGCTTTACGACACTGCTTATGCACCGTTATAGATGTTTTTTCCCTAAACTATTCAACGAATCCATCACTCCTTTCAGTACTTGAATCCACTAAAGTCTTTAGTCCACAATCAACAACCACAATTTCACTTCCAGTCAAAGATTTTTTGCAAATAAAGCAAATTTCTAACATTTTTAAAAAAAATTGTTACGGCAATGTTTAAAAAGAGAATATAATTAACACTTCCGTTCTAAACTAACTCCATTTTCCTTAAGCTATGTCCTTCGGGAAAAGCAGGTATACACAGGTTTTAACTCGAAAAAAGTAGTGTTTCAGGCAGATGTTTCTCAAGGCAAATCGCTCAATAGAATTACTCAGAATTGTATATTTTTCACGTACTCGTACTTATATGCATGGGGCAAATAAAACGATGTTCTAATATTTTTTGTATAAATGGTTAACCTGATGACGCACTCTGGCCACCTATGAGTGCATATTCGTATTTTCTACGTTTAAAATAGCCATAATTCGAGAACAGTGCATCGTAGAAGAAAAAGTATTAAAATCTTTTTTGTAGAAATTTTTACGATCTACAAACTTTGTCTGAACCATTTTTCTATAGCTTACGTTGTTTCAGAAATATAAGCAAAAAATGCAAATTTGTGATCTTTGACCTCGTATAAAAAACAACGCCCAAGCGCGATCGATGGGGACGTTTGACATATCATTTGTAATGACGTATTCAAGGCCTGCACAAAAATCCAGCTTGTGGGGCATTAAAGCAAACTGGAATGTCTATTTTGACTGCACTACAGTATACGCGTTAATAATAATAACTTATGTATCTGAATATCAAGATAACTAATAACTTTTAATAAAGGACTATAGAAAATAAGAAGAAATATTATAAATATGAAAAAAATAATAAGTTAGTGTTTTTTAAGGAGGCTTTATTTGATTATAATTGTGACCTTATACCAAATTAACATGAAGACGCAATTATATTAAATTGAATTTTTTTTTTTTTAACTAACAATCATCATTTTCACAAGCTCGCTGGGAAGAATTTAATTATGAGAAATCATATTTCGAATAAATTAACAAAAATTTATTTTGAATCGTATAAAAAATTCAAAATAATTGTTTTAATTTTTTTTCTTCTTAATTTACCCTATGACTCGTGTATCCGTACAAACAGTTTGAGCTGTTGACAATTATTATCTTAACCATAAACGACTAAAGTGTATGTCAAACTTAAATAACTACATATTTGGTCTACTTACGAATTATTGTAATAAGAGGTAGAAAATAGTATCTAACATTGATTTAAATAGATTTTGTCTGATTTAATTGCTAGATAATTATTTAGAAAAAAAAGCTACTCCAAAACCGTTTAAATATTTTTTTTAATACTTCATGGGTACATCAAGTTAATTTTTTTTAAATGCATTTTGGACAACGAGCAGTAGTGTTCTCGTTTAATTTTCGTTTACATTTAACCCCCAGAAGAGATATGTAGATTCTATGTATAAATTAAAGATTATTAACACCACTTCATGAAACAAAATTTCCATTAAAAAGTATATATCTACTGTACTGATTCCG